GGACATCAGGCTTCCCAGTTTATTTTTGTAAACACTTCTGGCAGTGATTTCAGCAGAGCTCTAAAAGCAACATGGGAAAAAGATTTGGTCTTTTCTATTGAATTATTATTATTCTGAATTATTATTGAACTATTATTAGCAGACCTCCAGAGATGTCAGACTAACAGAAGCTTCTTCAGCTGTTCAGATGGAAACTCTTCAGGTTGCTGCTGGTCTAAAGGCTGTTAGGGGATTAATTCATCCCTGAAGCTGCAGACTTTCTGGACCAGGATCCAGGGATTATAATCTGTGCCTCTCTATGAGATTTTATCCTCATGGTAAAAGCTTTAGCTAACCGGGTCCAGATGGCATCATGGAGAAAGATGCTGCAGGATGGAGACTCAGATCTGACTAATGATGAGAAAAACCTTCAGATAAAAGAGAAGAAGAATAAAGTTTCTGCATTATCACTCATTCCATGCAGTTTATCAGATGGTCTGGATTCTGCAGCCTTATTGCTGCTGAGCTGCATCCAGCAGAGTCTCTATAAATGTTCTGTGTCTCATTATGAGGGCAGGATGAACGGATGTTAAGGTTTGGATTCAAGGATTAAAGGATCGATTCTTCTGATATTAAAGGTTTTTCTCTGAAGCTGCCAGAAGCTTTTTCTTTTTCTTTTTCTTTATGTTCTGACTCTGTTCTTTCTGCCACTGCTCCTCTAATTAGCTGCTGTTTGCTTTTGTTTATATTGTAAATTAGATCAAATGAAAAAGTTGGACTCTCCTGACTCGGAGGGTCTCCTTTGGTTCTGATTCGGGTTGCGGTTCCGGTCCTCCTGCGGTGCGGGTCAGTGTCCGTGTTTTCCAGGTGTCTCGGTGCGTGGGGGGGGCGTGTCTCCACCTGAGCTGCGGTTCTGCTCTGAAAGCTGAAGCGCAGCTGCAGCTGCAGCGGTCCGACATGGAGAGGAAGACCCCCCCCAGAAAAACTCTGAGGACTCTGTTCTCCAGAACCGATCCTGGTCCGGTTCTGGACGGGTCTGCGCAGAAGGAGGACAGGAAAAGGTTCAAGTTCCCAAAGCTGAAGATAAAGTCGAGGAAGGAGGCTGAGGTTCTGCAGGAGGTCAGGTAGGTTCTCCTGGTTCCGCCTGCAGGTTTCTTCTGGTTCTGCTGATCCAGAAGCTGCAGACCTTCGTGCTGGTCTCACTGTGCGCCCAGCAGCTGCTCCAGAACCGGAACCAGTAAGGCTGGTTCTGATGCTGCAGCCTGTGGAGGGGGTTCTGTTCTCCCAGTGGTTCAGCCCAAACTGGAACCCAGAACCACATTAAGGCAGCAAACGGATCCAAGATGAGTCCAATTGACCTCCTGACGGAACCAAGGTCTGGTTCTGGAGAAGAGATGAAGGTGGAGGTTCTGCTGCAGGTCCTGATCCACACAGGAACCAGTCCAGGTGATGTGTGCTTCTGATTGGCACCAAAGGAGGAGTGAGGTTCTAGGTCTGTGAGAACGGGATGACCCTTGACCTCTAAGGTTAGCTCAGCATTTAGTGAGCGCTGGGCTAACATCAACAGGAAGTGCGCGCTCTAAATGCCTGGTTATCCTCCTGCAGCAGTGAGTCGCAGTGAGCTTGATGCAGACATTTTAGATTTATGCCAATATTAAAGCGT